TAGCACCAATCACAGCAGCTCCTCAGCCAGGCCAAGGGAAGTGCTAGCCAAGGGGCTTGGGTTGAGCCACTGCTTGGGGATCTGGAGTTCACTAACCCTCGTGGAAGCAAATCCTCTGGTACAAACCACCCTGGACGGGCCTGGTGGAAGCTTTGTCTTCAGGAGACAAGGCAATTAGCTGCAGTCTTTGTATGTGGTGTCTCAAGGCATCCACAGTGTGTTGATCTGGCTGGCGCTGGTTTAGGCCTCATCTGCCTGGCTGTTAGACAACAGACATTTTACTCAAGATTGGCAGGTCACCATGGAGATACATCAGCGGCTAAGGAGGGGCATCAGTCTGCCTTATCCCATGGCACTTGCTTGTTTTCTGAAAACGACACATCAGAGAGCATTTTAGCATTAGTTTACCATTAAAACTATAGTGATTTTTAATGGTACCCCAGACAAGGTGGGTTCCCCTTAATCTATCTAAGGCTAATACCACAGGCTGAAAAGGCAGGGCCACAGTGCTTCTTTGGACACTTCAGAAGGAGTGTGGCCCTGCCCACACCTGAGTTGGACTGAAGGCCTCTAGAAAGGTGAGAGGCCAAACACACACTCCAGGCCTCCACATTCTGGGTTCTTCGGTTCTGCAGCCCTAGGAAAAACGTCTCTCAATATTCAGCCTTCTCTTATATTTTTGGTTGTGAGCCTAGGAAAGGCACAAAGCTACAGAGAAACCCTGTCTTGAAAAAACAAAACAAAACAAACAAACTAAAATTCAGCCTTCTATGGATGCTCTGGCTGTCTCCCAAACTCCTGGCATCTCTGCACTTCAGTTGTGGAGAATGTCAAAGTACTGAACTGTAGTTACACACACGTGTGAACCATCTTGTGGATTCTGGGAATTGCACTTGGGTCCTCTGGCAAAACATTCAGTGCTCTTGACCAACGAGCCATCCCTCCTGCCCATCTTCAATGTTTTCAAAGGAAAAACTCCTTCTCCAATGCCCTAGTTCCATTTCCTTTGCTGAGATAACATGTCCCTGCCTCCCCCCACAAAAAAGCAACTTAAGGGAGAAAGAGTTTATTTTAACTAACAAATCCCAAGTCACAGTCCATCATAACGGGGAAGTCAAAGGTGGTGTGAATTTGAAACAGCTAGTCATGTGAGATCCACAGTCAAAAGCAGATGAGTTCATGCATGCTGCTTGCTTGCTTCCTTGCTTGTACTCAGCTGGATCTCTTCACTGTTGTACAGCTCAGGTTACTCTGCCTAGGGAATAGTGCTACCCGCAGTGGGCCGAGTCCTCCAAAATCAGTTAACTAAAGAGAATTCCCACACACACGCCCACAGGGCAACCCAAAATAGATAATCCCCACTTAAGACTCTCTTCCTTGGTGATTCTAGGCGGTGATGTTTTGTTTGTTCTCTAACAAATAAAGCTCGCCTGAAGATCAGAGGGCAGAGCTAGCCACTAGTTAGCCATAGAGACCAGGCAGTGGTGGCACACACCTTTAATCCCAGCACTTGGGAATCTCATGCCTTTGATTCCAGTACTTGGGAGGTGCATGCCTTTAATCCCAGAACTAGGGAGGAGGAAACAGGAAGTGATATGGCTGGGAGAAGAGGGGAATATAAGGTGGGTGGAGTCAGAGCTCAGCCCCTTTCAGGCTGAGGAGTTGGTGAGGTAAGAAGTGGCTGTGGCTTGCTCCCTTGTCTCTCTGATCTTTTAGCATTTACCCCGATATCTGACTCCAGGTTTTTATTATTAAGACCAATTAGAATTTGCACTACAATTCTAGGTTATGTTGGCAGTTGAAGCTGACTACCACAACCGGCAAACCACTCAGTGACTATTACTGTGAGACCTCCTTGTCCAAAGTGTTGATGCTTAAAAGCTCTGTTATTTGGTCTTACGCTGGCACTTCTCATTCAGTTAGCATGTAGGAAGCAGCTGCCCAGATACCTCAGAGACCGTTGGATGTTGTTTGACAGATCTATGTGCCCTGTGTCAAAACCAAATCTTATGGACCTCTCCCATGTTGTGTGCATGTCCCAGCCTGCAGGTCTGACTGTAAGAGCACTAATAGTTTTCCAAGACAATTCCAACGCTGTCTAGTTTGTGACGCTATGTTTAGGCCCTGTTGGCTTCTCTGCAGAAAATTGAAAGCTTGCTTCGTGTTTAGCTCATTTCAATTGCTTCCTTTCATATCTTATACGATCTTCATCTATGAATATGGGGGTGGTAAGGCGGCTTGTGGTGACCATCCCATGTCACCTGGACTTCCAAAGGTCTTTGTGTGAGGCATAAACTGTACTATAAGATGGACTTCCCAGATGTGTGTAGTCACTTCATCCTCTCAGACAGCTGAAAGCTGGCTTTTGTCGAGTCCCTTCTTTTCTGCCCCCTGCACGGCAATGGGCTGGTTTGTGTGGACTTAGGGAAAAGGTTTTTCCCATTTTCAAAGTCTGCCACTGTTGTAGGATCAAGTTATGGCTGAGTCCAGTCCTAACATGCTGCTAACCAACTGTGGAAACCCCAAGCATTGGCTTGAATATTTTGCTCTCAGCCTTCAGAAAGAGCACAGTCCCTGTAAGACTGCTGTCTGGGAAGTGAAAGTGAATGCACAACAGACCCACCTAGGGATGTGGGGGATCACCAACACTGTCCTGGGCTGACAAGGGCCTAAGAGAAACAGGTTAAAGCAGGAAAGGATTGCTTTCACTTGTCGTTTGAGAAGCATCAGTTCTAGCAGGCTGGTTCCATGTTCTCTAGGCCTTTGGCAAGGCAGAAACATCATGACAGAGAGGTGTTCACATCACGACAGCCAGGACACAGAGTGGGACGGTGAGAGGAGAGGTTCAGAGAGAAGAGACAACATTTAAAGGCGTACATCCCGTGCCCTACATCCACATCTCTACCCTGGTTCCTTAAAGGACAGTCAAGTATAAATTTACCCATGGATTAATCCATGGAGAGAGTCAGCGGCCTCTTCATCCACTGACTCAATAGTGCCACCAGGTGGGGGCCAAGCTTTCAGCAATGGGCCTTTTAATGGGACATTTCAAATCAAAACTCTGGGATTCCATCCAGTGATCACACTGGGGTCCAAGGCATCAGACATTATTCAGAGCTCAACGGCAGTTTGTTAGACGTGGCTAACAGGGTGGAAGCAGTGAGATGAAATGGGTTTCCCACAGCCTTTCTCAGGAGTTGGAAGAAAAGAGGTGAACGGGGGTATCTTTAGGAAGAGCAGTGGGTCATGGGAATTGTTCTAGGAAGGAAGTGAGAAGATCAGATTCTTTGAAGAAGAGGCGATGAAAGAGGGCAGTGGTGAAGGGCAGGGTGGATTTATTCTGCAGTGACTAACTTCAGGGCAGTGCCATGCTGTCCAGTGCCAACCCACTTTCTCAGGTGGCCTGGTGCTAAGAGGGTAAAGATGAAGAAACTGTGTAGGAGGAATATGACCCGATGAGGAAGGCTCCCCACCGAGGGCTTCTGGAGAGATGGCCGCAGGACTCCATGTGCCCCATGTGAGGACTCACAAGGCCTCTTTTCTTGCTGTGTGCCCTGCCCTGGGCTGAAGATGCAAAGATGCCAATGTTTTCCACCAAGGGCAGCCACTGGCTGAGCGTTAGGAGATGCAAGGGGGTCACCAGACTGTGGTCCTGGCTCCAGAGGTAAATTCACACTTCAGAGGAAAGGGTTTTTTTCCACCCTGGAAGCCTATACTGTTTCTTATACCAAGGAAGAAGACAAGCACAGTTGCATGGTGGTTTTCAAAAATTCTTTAGTCTGAAACACCCGAGAACACTTCTAAAGGTTTGGCATATTTGAAAAAAGTTATCTGCCTTCCATATGAAGTCTTGCCTGAGTCTACAGGACATGCCTCTGACGAGGCATTAAACTCTAGTTCCTTCAATGTGGTTTTAAGAGTTCCTATTTATCCCTGGGATGAGGTCCTGGTGATGTACACATCCCAGCAAGAAGTCACTATGTCAGGTCTCTGTGGGTGCCTTCGCCCAGCTTATGGTTCAGGCAATGTCCATTCTTTAAGAACTTTGTTCTAATTTCTTCCGTTTCTAATCTTTCCAAAGATCTCTCCCTTTCTTCTAACAGTCTTTGGTGAGATAAAGTATTGAGGTGTAGCTGCATACTGGAGGTTTGCAATTTCCACTGGGAAGACTCAGAGTAAATACAGAAGCCTGCGACCCCCAGCATCCAGGAGACTAGAACTTTAGACTGAGCCATATCCCAGGCTAATGCAAAGTGAGGAGCTTATGGGAAACAGAGCTTGTTAAGCCCACTTTATGCCATTGCCTCGGTTGGACTGGCCTAGGTTTTAGTGACTTGTATCCACGAGTGCACACAAAATTTCCAGAAGACCTTGCTTTACCGTCAAGTCATCTAATTTTGAGTTTGAAATATCTTCCTTTATTCCCATACTTGACAACAACCAGCAGCTTCAAAAACTGTTCCCAGCTCATTACAGAGATACCTAGGTAAACGAACCTCACCAGAGAGCCACAAATCCTTTTTCTGGGGCAAGCTGATTTAGTGATGGTCCTTATAGTGTACTGAGTGCTCCTTGTGGAGGGGAAGCGATACTTTAGAGAGTTGCCTAACAGGGTTACAGTCAGAAATTCTACATTGTAGATCAGAGCTCAGGGCCAGCCTGTTAGAATATGGCCAGCAGAGAATGAGGTGATGAAATGAACCGGGTATACACAGCCTTGCTGGTTTTTAATTGAGGGAAAACAAGACATGAACTGGCATGTCCCCTAAAGAGAGAGGAGTGTCCTTGTCACAGTTTTTAAGAAAGAAATAAGAAGGTCAATATTATGTTGGTTGGAAGTAGGGTTGGGCAGGAGCCAAAGATAGATTTATTCTTCAATAATTAACATTTGGGGGCCTGTGCCAATGACACGGCCAGGTTGGACTGGAGATAAGACGAAGTAACAAAAGCAAGAGGCATAGCCTGGTGAGGAAGATCAGCTCCCCTGAGTTTCCACAGAGATGGCTACGGGGTTCCATGTGCCCTTGCAAGGATTGCTGGGGCTGCTCCTGCTGTGTGCCCTGCCCCGGACTGAAGGTGGGAAGGTGCTGGTGATTCCCATGGAGGGCAGCCACTGGCTGAGCATGAGGGATGTCACCAAGGAGCTCCATGCCCGAGGCCACCAGATTGTGGTCCTGGCTCCAGACGTGACTCTTCACATCAAAGGAGAGGACTTCTTCACCCTCAAAACTTATGCCTTTCCGTACACTAACCAAGGATATAAGCAACAAGTGATAAAAAACATTAACCTGGTCTTTGAAACAGGAAACTCTGTGAAGACATTCTTTAAAACATCTGAGGCTTTGAAAAAAATATCAGCAACTCTCTTAACGTCTTGCAAGAATCTACTGCACAATGAGACCCTGATCCGGCACCTGAACTCCAGCTCCTTTGACGTGGTCTTAACGGACCCGGTCTTCCCCTGTGGGGCAGTGCTGGCCAAGTACCTACAGATTCCTGCTGTGCTTTTCCTGCGGTATATTCCCTGTGGCATAGACTATGAGGCCACACAATGTCCAAACCCTCCCTCATATATTCCAAGTCTACTCACAAGACTTTCTGACCACATGAACTTCCTACAAAGGACCAAAAATATGCTGTACCCTCTCGCCTTGAAGTACCTGTGTCGTGTATCTTTCACTCCCTATGAAAGTCTTGCCTCTGAGCTTTTGCAGAGAGAGGTGTCCTTGGTGGAGGTTCTCAGCCATTCATCAGTGTGGTTGTTCCGAGGGGACTTTGTGTTCGACTACCCCAGGCCCATTATGCCTAACATGGTCTTCATTGGGGGCATAAACTGTGCCAACAGGAAGCCACTCTCTCAGGTCTGTATTGAAGCCTTTAACCAATCAATATTCTATGCAAAATATATTTTCTAATGCTGACTTTCCTACTGGTCTTTTAAAGGATTCTGCCCCTTTACTGATAGCCTTTCTTGGCATAAACTATTAGAATCAGGCTCTCCTGTTTTTATTTTATGTGTGTGGATTTTTGCCTGGGTGTGTGTTTGTGTACCACATGCAGTGACTGTGGAAGCCAGAAGAGATCACTGAATCCCCTGGAACTGGAATTGCAGACGGTTGTGTGAGCCACCATGTGGGTGCTGGGAATCAAACTCAGTTCCTCTGGAAGAGAAGCCATCTCTCCAGCCCCAGAGCCTTCTATTTTTCGGTGGCCACTGGGGGGACTAGTGACTGAGGGTCTCTGATAGACTGAAGAGTGGTGGTGGTCTCTACTGAGACTGTCCATGTGTCTGTGTGCTGTTTTCCTGAGGGTGAGTTCCTGGATCTGGGCGGGAGCAGAGACACTGAGCTGTGACCTGACCTATCACGGGGAGCGCTACTGCCTAGGGGGATAAAGGAATTTCACAGTGCAGTTGTTGGGTCCACGCGCATAGTAAGTCTACCCTTTTCCTGGTGTCACCTTCAATGTCTTCCCTCAGTGTTGAAAGTCTTTATTGTAGAGTTCTTCCACAGCTGCGGTTAGCTGGGCATTTCTAGTTTGAGGCAATTGTTAATGGGGCTTGTTCTTGGTTATTTTCACCATGTTTGCCATTGGCGAGCAGGAAGACAACTGTTGATTTCCTATTCTACCACTTTGAAGAGTGTTTCTCATCTCTCAGAAGTGCAGGTGGGTCTTTAGGGCTGCTCTGTGTACAACCATATCCTATGCAATTGAGGACACGTGGATGTCTTCTTCTCCTCTTTGTGTCCTTCTAGTTGTCTCCTTGTCTTGCACTAACAAGACCCTGGTGCTGGATTCAGTGAGAGAACAGAATGGACACCTTGTTTAGATCCTGATTTTAGTGGAAGTGCTTCTCCCCATTTCCTATAAAGTTGTCTCTAATTTCACGGTACATAGCTTTTGCTATGTTGAGATATGTTCTTTTAATTTGTAGAGGCCACAGGGCTTTTTGTATTAACGGATCCTGGGTTTTGCCAAAAGCCTTTTCTGTATCTGTTTGGATGACCTGTGATCTCGGTCCTTCTGTCCACTTTAGTGATTTTCTACACATATTGATTTGTGTGTGTTAAATCAATATTACCCTTCAGGTATAAAGCCAACTTGATCATGATTGAGCTTTCTGATGTCTTCTTAAATTTAGTTGGCAAGTATTTGATTGAGAAATTCTTCATCTATTTTCATCAGAGAGATTGCTTTGTGGTTTGTCTTATTTTCTTATATATTTATGTGGTTTGTGAATTAAAGTAACGCTGGCTTCATAAAGAGTTTGATCATGTTCTTTCCTGACTTCTTTTGTGGAGTCCTTGGAGAAGCATGGTGTTAGTTCTTTGAAAGTCTGGTAAAATTAAGCAGTACTTCATGTGGACCTGGGAGGTGTTGACTTTGGAGGTTTTAAGTTACTGCTTTGATTTCCTATTTCACACTTCAAAAGGAACCCAGATGCACTTTCTCAGGGTCCTAGTTTGTGCCAGTGTGTTCAGGTCCTTTTACTCAAGAAAGGTTGTGTTTTTAGCTCGATTTCATTTCCAATTCAGTTTAGTGTCTTATGCAATTTCTTAAACTATCCCAAGGTAAGCATGCCAAAAATCCTCTTAGTGTGGGGCTGGACTAAGTTAACAGCATGAACTTCTCAGATGAGTGTGGACTACCTCATCCAGTCAGCTTCTCCTCTGGTCTGTGTCCCTGTGTGACAATGGGGAGGCATGTGCACCTAAGTGGGGCGTCCTCATCAGCCACCAACACTGTTTTAGAACCAAGCTAAGGCTGAATGGCATGCTAAGAAGCCACTAACCACCATGGAACCTTGAGGCCCTCAAGTGAGTATGTTGCCCTCTGCCTTCACAAGGAACATGGTCCTGGAACCAGTTTCTGATCTAAAAAAATGTAGAGAGAAATTAGTGAATCAACTTAAACTACTACAGTTGAGATAATAGGAGTCTAGTGACAACCCCTTTCATAGTTCCCTAAATTTTAAATCTGGATTGACATTTTAATGAATTATCGAATGGCCCCTCATTATTCATGTGTAATTGAAAGCCATCATTTTAAATTTGTTTTGTTTTTTCATTTATTAAGTTAAAATATAATCACGTTCCCTTTCCTTACTCCAACCCTTCCCATGCCCACTCCCTCACTTGCTCTCAAGTTCCCGACCTCCTTTTCTTTAATTGTTTATATATTACACACGTACACTACACATTGGGGAGAATATCTGGCATTTGTCTTTGTGAACCTGGGATACCTCAGTATATTTTCTAGTTCCATCTATTTACCTTCAAATTCCACAGTTGTGTTTTCTGTGTGTGTGTGTGTGTGTGTGTGTGTGTGTGTGTGTGTGTGTGTGTGTAAATCTCTAAGTACAACTTACTGAGTCTATTCAGGGTTGCACGCACATGACTCCAGGGCTGACAGTTTGGTATTGGGTGACCAACTTGGGACTCCAAATGGGGGGAGGACTCTTCTCCCGCTCTCAGCGCCCTTCAGCTGCCTGGAGCTCTTTGTGTAAGGGTGGGGCTCCTTGAGATTCCCCTTCCACATTAGCCTGTTGCCAGCGTTAACATGTTAGCGTCCTTACTCAAGTCTTGTTTAGGTAGCCACATTGTTGAATAAAGCTTTCCTGTCACGTCTAGGGGACACAATTTCATGACAGATTATTTTGGGTCCTCTGGCTCTTCAATCTATCTGTCCCCTCTTCTGGTACATTCCCTGAGACTTATGTGCAGCAGTTGTATTGTGGATGTATCTCTCCATTACAGCTGGGCACCCCCAATCAGTTGTTGTAATCTGCGCTTTGACTTTCTATAATAGCCTCTGTGTGTTGCAAAGAGAAGCTTCTTTAGTGTGGGTTAGGTGTCACACTTACATGCTTGCCTAGGGACAAATATTTAGAATACAGTTAGGAATTACGCTGGTTTAGTAAAGTGGTGGTCGTCTCTTCTCTGAGATCCGTGGCCTCACCAGCCTCATATAATTGGCTGGGTTTCTAGCACCAGGCATGATCTCCCTCCTGTTGAGTGGTCTTCAATCCAGTTAGAGAACCGTTGTTGTCACCAAGATACAGTACCACCGTTGCACCTTTAGGGATGGCTTGCCAGGCTGGTCACGGTTGGGGTTCACAGGCTTCACAGGCTTCACCGCTGGATGTGACTTCTGGTCGGTTCCCTTCCTTGGCAGCTTGCCTAGTACCTTCCAGAACTCTTAGAGTTAGTCCTTGGGGAGGGGGCTTTCAGGTCATATCCAGCATTGAGCTTCCAAGTCCTGTGTCCAAACTGCATGGTGTCTTCATCAATAGGGACCTACCTTCAATCTCTATGAGGCAACTAAGGGCAACATAAGTATAAAAAGGAAAGTATAGTTAAAAATGATTCAGAGAAAGCATATACCTTACCCAACATTTCATATAAAATGTGAAACGGAAGACTGACAGTCTTTTGGCAAACACCTTTCCTAATGCCAGGAGCACATGAGCAACCAGGATCTCTCAACATCTTTAAAGACATAAAATTAAGAATATTATTGGAAATATCTGCTGTGTGCCTCTTCATGTCATGCTTCATAGATTTATGTCTCTGACTCAGCTGGGCCACACAACACTCATGGCCTCGTTCACAGGTAAAGTGTTTCTTTGGATGCAGCATTTGAATGATTCTGTGTGCTTTTGAAAGCGAATGAATGCAAAAACTCACAGTGAGGAGAGGTACCAACACTGTCCTGGGGTGGTTTTCCACAGCTGTCTACTGCAGTTTTAGGTGGAGCAGGGGTGAATATTGAGTCTGGGCAGAAGTGCCACTAAATAAGTGCTGTAGTGGGATTCTGAGATGGCCCCAGGACCCCATGGGGGGGGGGCTCATACAGCTGATGTTTCTGCTCTGTGCTCTGCCCTGAGCTGAGGGTGGGAAGGTGGTGGCATTTCCCATGGAAGGCAGCCACTGGCTGAGCGTGACGACCGTCATGGAGGAGCTCCATGCCTGAGGCCACCAGACTTTGGACCTGACTCCAGGTGTGTCTGTGTGCATCAAAAAAGAGGACTTCTTCACTACTGTTCCACTCAGCAAAGAGGAACACAGGCACAGCTTACTGGGCCACCTTCCAAAGTTCTTTGAAATAGAACATGACCTGGGGATATTTCTTAAAGTTATGGCATACATGAAAAATGTATCAACATGGATTTGGGTCTACATGGGTCTTCATGGGTCTACTGTGTGGGTGTACTGCAGAATGAGGCTCTAACCCACCATCTTAATTTGAGTTCCTTCAATGTGGTTTTAAGAGACCCTCTTGAGCCCTGTGGGGTGGTGCTGGCCAAGTGCATGTTTCTGCTGTGTTTTTCCTGCACTACTTTCCCTGTGAACTAGACTTTAAGGCAGTCCAGGGTCCAAACCCTCCCTTGTATGTTTCTCATAAGAACTTCAGACCACAGATCTGCAGAGGGTCAAGAACATTATTCTGATTCTGTGAATATATCTGTTCTGAGGCCTTGAGTTATCTTTCATATTTTTTAATACTCCCTATGTGAGCCTTGCCTCTGAGCTTTTGCAGAGAGAGGTGTCCTTGGTGGAGGTTCTCAGCCATGCATCCATGTGGCTGTTCCCAGGGGACTTTGTGCTTGACCCCAGGCCCATCATGCCTAACATGGTCTTCATTGCGGGCGTAAACTGTGCCAACAGGAAGTTACTCCATCAGGTCTATATTCTGCCTTTGTCCCAACAATGTTTCCACAAGACTATGTTTAAAAAGACCTCATAGTCTGAGTTGTACAGTTAAATTCTCATCTTTTCAGGGATTTCTCTCTGTGTAATTCTCCTAATTATCTTTGGTGAGTCTAATTCTTTTTGCTGTTGCTGTTTTTTTTTATTTTTATTTTTCATTTGTTTTGGGAGATGAGGTCTCTCTCTGCAGCTCTGGCTGTCCTGGA